TCGTGCCATGCACCAGGAGGTCACGGTTCGATTCCTGGTCAGGGCACGTGCCCAGATTTGGGGCTCGATCCTCAGTAGGGGGCATCATGCAGGAGGCAGCCAATCAATGTTCCTCTCTCACGTCGATGTTTCTCGCTCTCCCTCTCCCTTCCTGTCTCTCTAAAATCAATAAAAACATACTTAAAAAAAAAAGTAAATATGTAGGTAATTAATCAAGTTTGTAAACACAATTTAGAAAGATTTTAATACCCACATTATTCATGTTTTTTTAAATTAAGAATTAAAGGATTATAGTAGAGCCAATTTAGGCTTTCAAGTCATGCCTGAACTTTGGATGAGACAAATCCCCAGGCTTGGTTTTTTGGTTATTGATTTTCTACTGCTACATAACACACTACTAACAACTTAGCCGCTTAAAATAGCACCCATTTATTTCCTCAGTTTCTGAAGGTCAGAAGTCCAGCCAAGCGTTGCTGAGTTCTTTGCTCTGGTCTTTCCAGGCTGAAATCAAGGGGTAGCTGGCCTGTGATTTCGCCAAAGGCCTGGAGTCTTCCAAACTCACCGGTTGTCGGCATTTATTTCCTTGCAGTTGCAGGGACTGAGGTCCCCACTTTCTTGCTGGCTATCGCCTGAGGGCCGTTTTCAGCTCCTAGAATTGCCCCCTGTCGCCACCGCATGGCCTTCTCTACAGCATGGACGTTTGCTGCGTCAAGGCCAGCAGGAAAGTCTCTCTGACACTTCACATTCTTGTTTGAGGGCTCACCTGATTAGGTCAGGCCCACCATGAAGCATCCCACCTCGATTAACTCAAAGAAATAGACCGAGTCACAGGAATGATACCCCATCGTATTCACTAGTCCCTCCCACACGCAAGGGAGGGATTGACAAGGCGTGTCCACCAGCAGGTAGGAATCTTCCGAGCCATCTTAGAGTCTACCTCAGGCAGCCATTTTAAAGGAAAAAATACACCCTAGCTGGTTTGGCTCAGTGGATAGAGCGTCGGCCTGTGGACTGAAGGGTCCCAGGTTTGATTCCGGTCAAGAGCATGTACCTTGATTGTGGGCACATCCCCAGTAGGGGGTGTGCAGGAGGCAGCTGGTCGATGTTTCTCTCTCATCGATGTTTCTAACTCTCTATCCCTCTCCCCTCCTCTCTGTAAAAAAAAATGAATAAGATATATTTTAAAAATAAATAAATAAATAAATAACAACAAAGGGAAAAATACCTGCCAGTCCTATGGGCTTGTGATGAGGATTACACAAACAAGAGCATGGGAAACCTTCGCCTCATGGAAGGCTTCGATAAATACCTCTGCTCCCTCCTCTTATATTACAGGTGCACAGTGCAAGCGTGTTGGAGAGCCAGGCGGCCTGGAAAGAATTCCCCGAGAGGGTGCTGCGTTGGGCTGACCGCTCCCCGACCATCAGCCTTACCTTCACTGACTGTCACCTTTTCTTGGCAGGTGGGCATGAAGACTTTTCAAAAATGATTGATGAAGCTGAGCCCCTGGGCTACCCGGTCGTGGTGAAGAGCACACGAGGACACCAGGGTCAGTGCTGCTCCTGCAATTCCTGTAGGCCAAAGCGCTGCCACACAAGACCCTCCTTAGGCGGGAGTGGGAGCACCGCTGGGAGCAACTGAGCTCCCCCTCGAGGAGCTTGCAGTGTAGTCCTTACCTCTATCCCCTCCTCTCTGTCCCCACCCTTCCCCGGATGATGGTCACAGGCCCTTGACTTGACTCTGGTTTCCCTAACTCCACTGCCAGTTCATCCTCTATTCTTTCTGGAGAGTCTTTCTCTGAAACATCTATTCTTGTCGTTCTCTGTTGAAAAACCCTCTCGAGAGCCTGTGCTGCCTCTTAGACAAAGTCCGTATTCCTGCTCATGGCACTGAAGCCCTGGACAAAGAGCCTCACCTCCCTTTGCAGCTTCTCTGGCCACGGGACTCTCCCACATCCATGCCGGACTACTTCTCATTCACCCACGCCACGTATTTTCCTCTCGGAAACCTCTGCTGGGAATGCCATCTTCCTCTGTCCTCTCGTGAACTTCTGCTCATCCTTTAAGGCCGGCTCCACCTGTCATTTTTTTTCTCTCCACATCTCTTGCCTCCCTCCCGCCCTTCCAAAAATTAATTTCCCTTCCCTTTGTGTCCCCATAGCACTTGGTCCATGATTCTAGCTCTGTACTACACTTGATGACAGTTATAGGTTATATGCCCTTTTTCCCCTTCTTCATTGCGAGTTACTCAGTTCCTGTGAATCTCTGTCTCTGTAAGACCTACTATGTGCTCAGTCGGAGTTAATAAATGTTGAAGAGGATGGATGCAGCAGAAAGCAATCCTCCAGTATAGGAGCGGGTACCCAGATGGCATTTGGAGTGAGAGGAGGTATCCCAAATAGACACGTAATGAGCAATTCCTGTGATGCAGGGACTGTGAAGTAGAAATAAATTAGACCCAGTCACCTCTCTTAAGGATCGCCAATGTGAAGAGTGTAGAGAGAGTTGCGTTGCAGGGTACGCTGCTGCAGCATGCATTTCCGGGCACCTGTTGAGGAGCTTGAGCTGAACAGAGGGAGGGCCAACTCTGCCAAGAGGCAGTGAAAGCTTCATTGGAATAAAGGAGACTTAGGTTGACATGTGGAATGTGAACTGGAGGAAGTGAGCTGAGCAAAGAAACAGAAGCAGGGGTGAGCAAAGCAACGTGTGAGTCTAGAGGGGGCCTGTTGAAGAGCAAGAAAAATGAGTGTGGGTGGCAAGGTGGCGCTCCTGATACTACCCAGATATGGTACAGAGCTAAAATGCAATGTCTCTCAACTAGTTGTTTTCTTCAATCATATATGATTCAAATATGAGTCATATTTGAATTATTTATTCCAATACTGCCGGCAGTATAGGAAAGCACCAGGTCATCCACACAAAAATCTGCTCTGCAGCTCCCCATAAGCCAGCTGTTTATATAGGATAAGACAAAGATTACACAGGGAAATATGGATTATAGGTATGGGGAAGTAGGGATTACAGGCATGAGGAAGTAGGAGGCTGGGGTGGTACTCCGTTGTTTTGGCACAGGGGCATATAACTCCCAGCCAGGTCAGAATTTAACCAACACAAGGCAATCATGGTTAACAGAGCATGATTAATATTTCCCATAACCATAGTTAGTCCCCAATATTCTATTCTTGTCCCTAACATTTCCCCACTGCTATTTCTATTATCTCACATCTATGAGATTAGTTTTAGGTGAAAAGTCTCCTCCTGCTGGACTGCATCTGCTTCTGCCTTGAAGCAGTTCCCAGAGATGGAATACACCAAATGCAGGATCATGGATATATGTCCTATCCACTGAGAATTGTCAGAAAGATTAAAACAGCACATTCCTTTAAATTCTTCACAACCGTGGTTATGCTGCAACAGCAAGTAATCTATTGCTGCCTGATTTTCTAGAACTGCCTCCCTCACCTGGCTCAGCTGTTGATTTATCCCATGGATAGCGCTGGAGGTGGCTTTAGGGCTTTTACCGTGCTGCAAGCCTGCCGGGTCACTTCTACATTAAGGGAATCTACCTTTTACCAGCATAACAGAAATGGTCAAAGCAATATATGTAGCAGGGCTCCACAGGTGGAGATCGTCATTGCCGTCTGGTGCCACAGCCTTGAGAAAGTCTCTTGTGGTTCAGACCCTGTGATGTTTCTGAGGCATAAAGACAGTCAGTCATCCTAAGGAAGAGGACCCCATTGCTGTTAGCAGGGATAAATAGTTACCCCACGTATCAGAAACCAACCAGCCAGCACCTTAGTATGTCTAGTACTATAAGGGGATTATCAGGATAATTATCAGAATAATTCATATAGTTATTAGCTACTGAAAGATAACAACTAGAACACCCAGTAACAGTCAGACATTTACCACAGGGAACTACTGCAGTAACCTTTAGAGGAAACATCACTGCATCCTTTTCCCAGACAGTGGGTCCCAACATACAAAGATCCCTATATATGACTCCCCAAAATGAATGGAATAATTCTTTAAATTAGCAATAAGTGTCCCAACACCTGCTCAGCAAATGTAAAGGTCAGTTCTACACAAGTTCCTCCATTGCCAGCTTCAGAGCAGTCGGAGTGGTGAGAAGCACATCTCAGTCCCATCCATTTCTCCTCCAGTTGGCCCATCGTCCTTGCTCTGCTCACGTCTGTCTAACTGCCTATCACATCCCCCCTCAAGGATCTGAATTCTCTCACAGAAAAGGGGTGCAGGGTCTCTTCAGCAGCTGCTTCATGCTGAGGAGGGATGAAGTTTTCCCTTCAGAGCAAGAGATCCTTGCTCTCTGTCAGAGGGACGATGCAGCCTGGCCACAGAAGGAGGTGACAGTGGTGTCTAGAGGTGGTATTCCCTGAGTGCGAGTAGGACTTGTAACCTGGTGGAGACAAACTGTGTCATAAAATTTCGTATTATTGGGCAAAAGTTAGAACAGCAAGAATACACAAATGATCTGGTGGAAGGAAAAACACATTTCAGTTCTAATAATTCCCAATTTGAAACACAATTTTTTTCTGTCCCGAAAATCACCCTCATTTTTATTCAAGAGCCAACTTAAGACCAATTTATTTACTGTATTAAGTCTAGTTACGATTTGGCCTGATTGTTTCATCAACACAATAAGAATAACATCAGCTAGTTGTTGTTTTTAATTGTGGTAACATATATATATAACATAAAATTCAACTATTTATTGAATGCCTACAAAGTGCCAGGCATTTCATATTCTAGGGGATACAGAAAGGAACAAAACAAAAATTCCCGCCCTCAGGGAGCTCACATTGTAGAAAGGTGTGACAGACAATGACAAGTTAAATAGAAGAATCCTGGCCGGGTAGCTCAGTTGGTTAGAGCGTGATGTGAGAGTGAACAGGGACCGAGCCTGCAACCTGGGCTTGTGCCCTGACTGGGAACTGAATCGGCAACCTTTCGGTGCACAGGACAATGCCCAATCAATGGAGCCATACAAGCCAGGGCTACATAGTATTTTTAAACATTTGAAAAACTGAGATATAATTCACATAAAAATTTGCTATTTTGAAGAGTACAGTTCAGTGGATTTTAGTGTATTCACTATTCTATACAACCATTTCCATTATCTAATTTCAGGACATTTCCATCACCACAGAAAGAAAACCCATACCTGTCAGGGGTCAATCCCAATTGCCCTTTCCCAGTCCTTGAGAACTAACCTACTTTCTGTTTTTATGGATTTGACTATTTTGGACATTTCATATCAGTAGAATCATATAATATGTTGCCTTTTGTGCCTGGCTCCTTTGACTTAGCATAACATTTTCAAAGGTCATCCATATTGCTTTTATGATTTAATATTCTGTTGTCAGAATATACTGCATTTCGTTTATCTGTTCATCAGTTGATGGACATTTGGATTGCGTCCATTTTGTGGCTACTGCTGCTATGAACATTTGTGGACAGGTCATAGTGTGAACATATGTTTAATGTCTCTTGCGTATATAACCAAGAGTGCAATTGCTGGGTCATATGGTAATTCTATGTTTAGCTGTAGAGGAACTGCCAAACTGTTTTCCACATCAGTTTATGCCATTTTATACTCCCACCAGGACTGTACAAGGATTACAGTTTCTCTACATTCTCCCAACTGTTATATCATTCATTCATTTGTTCATTCATTATTGATTTGTTTTAATATAGCCATCTTAGTGGGTATAATTTGGTTTCTTATTGTGGTTTTTATGTTTCCCTAATGATATTGAACATCTTTTTATGTGCTTATTGGCCATTTATATATCTTCTTTTTTTTTAATATGTTTTTTTATTGTTTCCAGAGAGAGGAAGGGAGAGGGAGAGATAGAAACATCAATGATGAGAATCATTGACCAGCTACTTCCTGCACGCCCCCTACTGGGGATCCAGTCTGCAATCCTGGCATGTACCCTGATGGGGAATCGAACCAGTGACCTCTTGGTTCATAGGTCAACGCTCAACCACTGAACCACACCAGCCAGACACTATACCTTCTTAGGAGAAATGTCTATTCAGATCCTTTGCCCATTTTTCAATTGTATTATTTGCCTTTTTGTTGTTGAATTTTTAAGAGTTACTTATATACTCTGGCTATTATACCCTTATCAGACATATAATTTAAACATTTTTTTTCTACTCTTTAGGTTGTCTTTTCATTTTCTTCATAGTGTCCTTTGATGCACAAAAATTTTTGGTTTTGATGAAATACAATCTATTTTTTCCTTTGGTTACTTGTGCTTTTGATGTCATTTTGTACTTGCCTAATCCAAAATCGCACAAATTTATACTTATGTGTCCTTCTAAGTGTTTTATTGTTGTAGCCCTTACATTTAGTTTTTTTTACCCATTTTGAGTTTAGTTTTATATGTGGTGAAATGTAGGAGTTCAACTTCATTCTGTTGTGTGTGGATGTCCATTTTTCCCAGTATCATTTGTTGAATAAACTGTTCTTTCCCCATTGCGTGTTCTTGAAACTCTTGTCAAAAATCAATTGGCCATCTGTGTGAGGGTTTATTCTGAGCTCTCAATTCTTTTACATTGATCTATATGTCTATCTTTATAACAGGCCACACCTCTTGATTACTGTAACTTTATAATAAGGTTTAAAATTGGGAAATGTGAATCCTCCAACTTTGTCCTTCTTTTTCAAGATTGTGTTAGCTATTTGGGATCCCTTGCATATGAATTTAAGGATCACTTATCAATTTCTGCAGAAAAGGAAATTAGCATTTTGGTAGGAAATGCATTGAATCTGTAAATCAACCTGAAATGTATTGCCATTTCAATAGTAAGCCTTTCAGCCCTGGCTGGTTTGGCTCAGTGGATAGAGCATCGGCCTGCAGACTGAAGGGTCCTGGGTTTGATTCTGGTCAAGGACACATGTCCGGGTTTCAGGCTCGATCCCCATTAGGGGGTGTGCAGGAGGCAGCTGATCAATGATTCTCTCTCATTGGTGTTTCTCTCTCCCTCTCCTTTCCTCTCTGAAACCAATAAAAATGTATTTTTTAAAAAAGTATTTCAATGTCTGAAAGATGGGATGTCTTCAGAAATATTTTATAGTTTTCAGTGTATAAGTATTATACTTATTTTATGAAATGTATTCCTGAATGTGCTATTCCTTTCAATACTATTGTAAATAGAATTGTGTTCTTAATTTGATTTTCAGATTGCTCATTGCTAGTGTAGCAAATAGTATCGTAGGGAAAATGAATAGGGAATAAGCAAAGTCACAGCAATTTTTAGACTCTAGAATATGGAAATAAATTTAAAGAAGGCAGTGGACTGGTGTAGCCTTTGCCTTTTCAAAAGTGACTAATCTTATGGACCCTCATTTTCTTCATTTATAAAGCACAAATAGCTATCTTTGTCCTAATGGCTTCACAAGGCTAGTATGAAGGGTAAATGAAACAATAAAAAAAGTGTTTGGCACATCATAGATTGATTATTAACTAATCTTAGTGCCCTTCCCTCACCTCTCATTTTTCCTCCTTGCCTTAAAACTGTAGCTCTTTTATTAACCGAAGACTAAGCCCATGTTAGAACCTCTGCGCCAGAAACCAAGGAACAAGTCTCTATCTCTAGCCCCATCTCTGCTAAAAATCCTACCTGAGATCCAGAGAACCCCCAGTGCCTACAACTGAGTCCAAGCCCTCTGTTGCCAGATGACAGATCTCTTGGTGCCAAATGTCCAGTGTTAGGAGACATATTTCCAGTCTTTTACACGGCTAGAGGCTGATGCCCATCACTCTTTTTATGAAGACTTCAGAAAGATCCCACTCCTTTAGGACACAAATCTTAGGAAAACCATCCCGTATTTGCTAGCAAGAATGCTCAGATTGGGTGTGCTCATGTCAGATCTGCAGAGCAAACCTGTCAGGAACCCCTGTGAGATACATTAGCTGATATGCAAATGGGAAGCAGATGCCAGATACTTGCAAAAGCATTGGCCAGTCAGGCAGAAAATAAAGAATTTGGAGTCAAAAAGAAATGCTTTCCCAAGAGAAATAGAAGTATAGATCATTCCTTTTAGAATTAATAGGTGTTGCCAAATAATAAGTTTCTCATATTTAAAAAGAGGAAGGATGTCTGTCAGTGACTCACTTTTTGAACTTTATTGTAGTTTTCATAGACCTCAGTGTAAATCATGCGGTGTGATACTTATCTTTTTTGGATCTCCATCTATTTTAGGGTTCTTCTAAAATATGTCCAATCAATTATGTTCTGCTTTGTGCATCAAGTTCAGTATGAAGTTTGGGGGATTTTGAAAACATGAGTTAAACATGGACCCTGCCTGATCCACAGCCTCAGGGTGATAAGAGATGCTAATAGCTGTTTTGGAACCGAGTTGACTTGATCCATAGGATTTTATTTTGACCCCTTCTCTGTATTTCTGGAATACGTTATTATTTCATTTTGGTAAGAGTGGTGGTACAGGGAGACAGTTGACATTATTAAGACCTGAGCAAAATCAAGAGAAAACAAAGTTCAATAGCCATTTGATAAGAAGCAAAAGTTTAGTCAGAGAAGTAGAGGAGACCAAAGTGAGGCAGGTTCGGGAAGCATTGATGACTGTATCGGACGGCAGACGGGATGGCCAGGACAGGGTTCGGAGGCTGCTCTAACGCCTTCTCTTGTTGTCTTTCTTCTTAAAGGAAAGGCTGTTTTCCTTGCAAGAGACAAACATCACCTCTCAGACATCTGCCATCTGATCCGCCATGACGTGCCCTACCTGTTCCAGAAGTATGTGAAGGAGTCACACGGAAAAGATATCCGGGTGGTGGTGGTCGGGGGCCAGGTGATAGGCTCTATGCTTCGCTGCTCCACGGACGGACGGATGCAGAGCAACTGCTCTCTCGGTAAGTGTAAGGCCCAGAGTCTGTGTGTTGGTTACAGGAGGCCAGGAGTTTTCATTAGGACGTTTAGACCCATTTAGTAAATGTGCACCTGTCCCACCTAGCTAGTCAGAGCCTGGCTGGGTGCCAGGATCAACAGCTAAGAATTAGAAACAAGCCCTTTCCTTTAGCAGCAAGCAGTCCAGCAGGGGGACAGATGGTGTAAGTGCTGTGACAGAGGTCAGGCCAGGGGTATCGGGACACTGAGGTGTGAACCCTGTCCTATAGGTGTTAGGACTTAGCGGTCAGGTTTACACAGGGAGCGACATGAGGATCCGTGTTTGAGAAACTGACATCTGGGTAGAGGATGAATTGAAGGCATAGGACAGGAGGCAAGGACGAGTGTGGAAGCTGCTGCAACGGCTCAGGCAAGAAATAGTGAGGGTCTAAACTAAGGCAATGACATGACGCAGGGCAAATTCTGCTTTTCTATTACAATTGAAAGTTGTGTTTTTCTTATATGTATGATGTTATTAAAAAGCTAGAGTTTATGTTTGGGCCAAATGCATAACCCCACCCCGTGAACCTGTTTAATAAAGCTTGTTTTCTGTAGTGGTGAATGAAGATGTCCCAGAAGGCTGTCAATTCTTGTCCCCAACACAGAAAGCTATTGTCCACCTCACTAAACGAATTTTCATGTTGGTAACATGAAAAAGTACCAAAAAAGGAAAATGTACCTACAGTTACTGTTTCCTGAATCGCCAGATGAGTGTCCCAAGTCTAATGACTAAGAAGGAGACCGAGACATTGATTTTGTCTGTCCTTCATTAATCCTGGCTGAGCAGTTTCCATGAGCGGACTTTGGTAGATATTGAGAGTGTAGTGATTAATGAGAGAATCCTTGTTTATGGTCCAGTAAAGGAGAAGACACATAAAGAGATCATTGTAAGATATTGCGATAAAGCGGGGTAATAGAAACAAATTCTAGGCTCAGGTTAACAAAGTACTAAGTACCTAACATATTATCTCATTTAATTTTGATGATAATCATGTGCAGTGCAACAGTATTGAACCTTATGTGTTATTGTTTTGTCTTTTTTTAAAAAATATGTTTTTATTGATTTTAGAGAGAAAGGTAGGGAGAGGGAGAGAAACATCAATCAGCTGCCTTTTGCACACCCACTGCTGAGGATTGAGCCCGCAACGTGGGCATGTGCCATGACCGGGAATCACACTAGCGACCTTTTGGTGCATGGTGTGATGCTCAACCAACTGAGCCACACTGGCCAGGGCTGTTTTGTCTTTTTTAGTTTCTAATAAGGAACCGCATGCTTTTTTTTAATTTATTCACATTACTTTTCCTGCTAAGCTGTTTTTACAGCCTTTTCTTTATACAGTATAATAGGTGGGGAAAGGACAGTGTTAAGGCAAAGACATTAGTTATTGGACCTGAGAATACAAGTCATAAGTCTTTCTAGGGAGACTAAGGGAGACAATTAAATCTGAAGTTTTAGCTTTTTAACAAATAAGAGCAATCAGACTCTTTCTGTCCTTGATATAGCATTTGTCTCACAAGCCTCTCCATCTCTCTCTACTTAAAAAATAATAAATTAATTCTGTTTTATTCTAATTATACAAGGAGTACATTCTCAATGTAGAAAGCCTGGAAAATATAGCAAAGTCAAATGAAAAGATATTTATCATTAATCTTTTTTTTTTTAAATATATTTTATTGGTTTTTTACAGAGAGGAAGGGAGAGAGATAGAGAGTTAGAAACATCGATGAGAGAGAGACATCGATCAGCTGCCTCCTGCACATCTCCTACTGGGTATTGAGCCTGCAACCAAGGTACGTGCCCTGGAACAGAATCAAACCCGGGACCCTTCAGTCCGCAGGTTGATGCTCTATCCACTGAGCCAAACCGGTTTCGGCATTTATCATTAATCTTACCATCTAGAGACAACCAGTGTTAACATTTTGGTATTATTTCTTTTGATCTTTTTTTTCTAATAATATCGTTTTGCATGTTTATACTGCACAGTCTTTAATCCTACATATTTTTCTATGGGATCACAAACTCTCTATGAGCATTATTAATGGTTGTAACATACGTTGTTTTCCTCTATTGTGAGCTACTTAGATTATAATTTTTCATTTATTCAACAACAAACATTTATTATTGAGTACCTTCTATGTTCCAGGCACAATGATTTTTCAGTGTGTTTAAATAACTCTGACATCAACATCTGTCTGCATCAAGCCTTTTCTCTGTTACATAAGATTATTTCTTAAGTAGTGGAATGGCTGGGTCACAGGGTATAAGCATTTTAAGACTCTAGGTAGGAAATGACCACATTGTTTTCCTGATGTCCTTTCAGACCTTTTGTGAATAATGAAAATGCCCTGCTCGCTCGCTGTCCTTCCTCGGCACTCCCCCTTCTCTTCCTCCTCGAAGGGTCATTTGACTTGCTAGTCAGTGTCTGATGTCATCGTTACATCACTATGCTTTCCCCACAGGTGGTGTGGGTGTCATGTGCCCGCTGACAGAGCAAGGCAAGCAGTTGGCTATTCAGGTCTCCAATATCCTGGGCATGGACTTCTGTGGCATTGATCTCCTCATCATGGACGATGGCTCCTTTGTGGTGTGTGAGGCAAACGCCAACGTTGGTTTCCTCGCCTTCGACCAGGCATGCAACTTAGACGTGGGTGCGATCATTGCAGACTATGCTGTGTCCTTGCTGCCAAATATGCAGACTGGGAAGATGGCCATCCTCCCAGGCCTGTCCAGTCCCAGGGAGAAGAGCGAGCCAGATGGCTGTGCTGCAGCTCGGGGCGTTGCAGAGAGCATCTACACCATCAACAACGGGTCTACCTCCAGTGAGAGTGAGCCTGAACTGGGAGAGGTCCGCGGTCCCTCAGCAAGCACGCCAGGGCCCCCGCCCCCCACGCTGCCCGAACCCAGCTACAACATTAACAATAGGATTGCTTCTGAATTAAAACTGAAGTGAATTCCTGCTTTTGTTGGCAGCATTTAAACCAAATCCTACTGCTTCCCTAGTTGTTTTGAATGAATAAAATCTGGACTAATGTGATTTCATTTGCACAGAAACTAGAAGTCCCATCTGGGCACTCGACATTCTTTCTAACGATGATTTAAGCAAATGGCCTAGCTTTGTGGTTTTTACAAAGATAACCTAAAAACGCTCACCAGGAACAACATCCCGACTGATCCATTTGAGGCCGAGGTTTGCTGCAAGCACTTGGATATCCCGACTGATTTTAAGGCACTGACTGTGCTGCTGCTTCTAGCTTTTAGCAATAGAGCCCATTAACTCGGAAAAGCTCCTGGCAGTAGTTTACTCAAAAGCAACCACCGGATGGAGGCGTGTGCAATAGAGGTGGAATGTGGCTTCAGTTATGTGCTTTTCGTGTGTGTGTGTGTGTGTGTGTGTGTGTGTGTGTGTGTGTGTGTGAGATGCTTGGTGAATACACAGTTCGAATACTAGTAGACGATTGCTCTCTGCTCCCCCTCCATCACCACCTTGACCATATTTCTCTGACACTCAGGATGTGGTGTTCCAGGGAGCTTCCCCATTAGCATTTTCAATGAAGCACTTTGTAGAAAGTAAATTCACTGGTGGGCAGATGCCCTGCTCTGTCGCGGCCATCCTACAAATGCTTTGCCACTTCGAATTTACAGACCTGCCTCAACGAACGCCAGCCCCAGCAGCCTCTTGCACCTTCGCAGCCTTCGGCCTCCGCTGGAAATGCAATTGAATGAGCTAGTGGCCACACACTATTTCTTAAGCGTGCACTAGAACCAAACACCAGGGACTCACTCTTCAATGGACGATTTTCACTTGTCATTCCAAAGCCATTGGTTTATATGCTGGAAAGCTACTGGACGATAATCACTTCCCCCCTTCTCTACTGACACTTCGTGTACTGCTTAGCTGTAGGGGTTTTCTTGTATGCGTTGGTACGTGGACCTGTTAGGTAGATAGAGCTGTTGGAAACACACTCCAGTCCCCTTGGCATGCTAGTATTATCCAGGCTCCAGACACCTGACCTTACCCACCTTTCCGAACTGGGGAGATGCGGGGATCAGGACTTACTCATTGCCTATTTTGGGGGGAGTTGGAGAATGTAGACATGACGCCGAGTGCTTTTCATTTCCACTCTTCAAGCAGCAGCTGCTGAGCCTTCCCTTGAGAGGTCATGGGAAGGGAGTGTTCCACTTCTGCTCTGTGGAGTATGACTGAAAATGGGCAAGGCTACATTTTAACCAAATGCACCAAAACAGGACTCAAGGGTTATCACAATCAGGGTTATTTCCTGGGAGACCATACTTTTAAGCTGTGATGTTGCATGTGCCAAGAACACATAGAATTCCTGTTTGGAGTTATCTTTGAAACCATGCAAGGAAGGAAGGCTCGCAACCTATAGTCAGGTCTTGTTTCGTGTGTTTGTTTTTGTTAATCCTCATTTGAGGTTTTGGGGGTTTTTTTCCCATTGATTTTTTAGGGAGAGTGGAAGGGAGGGGAAGAGACACACAGAGAGAAACATCGATGTAGAGAGACACATCCATTGGTTGCCTCCCACACGCACCTTGACTAGGTTTGCGGTTCGAGCCTTCCACCGAGGAACATGCTTTGACCAGAATCGAACCCAAGACCCTTCAGTCCCTAGGCCGACGCTGTAACCACTGAGAAAAACCAGCTAAGGCAGGTCTTGTTTTTTACACCACCCCTCCCCAGAGGTAGTCCCATGCTCCACCACCCATTTTATTTATTGGACTTTTCTTCTAATTTTCTTTGGCTGTTAAAAAATAATCATTTCTTGAAAAATAAATCTACCCTTTCAGGACAAAGACTTAACAGCATTGAAGAAAGTTTATAAGGAGACAGTTTCCAAAGACAATTCTGGAAATATTCTGAGTAAGGTCAGCTTCACTAGACTAAACATACATCTTCCCAAGGTGACTACTAGTACTTTAAAGGCAACAACACCCACTTGGATGTATAAACTCCTGTACTTACTCTGCTGTAAATGTAAAATGTGTATAAGGTCAAACAATTCCATTTTTTTTCACATTTAAATAGAAATTGGCTTTTAAAATACTGACTAAAATCAGATTTCACCAAGTACCAGTTGTACAACTGGAAAATCTTTAGCGCCATGTAATGGAGATGTACACTACACAGTTGTAGTTTAAATGCAGTCCCGTGTGGGGTGCATGCCCCTAAACTGTAACCTTAGTAATGTGTCCTTTACAGTTGAAAATGGAGTACTTCACCTTTATATAGGTAACAACATGTACCTTATGTTTACCACTCAGGGTAGGTTTAGAAGGATAGTTCTAGGTCTGTTCTCTCTGCAATTGGCCAGATGCTTTCTTTGTAAACATTGGAACCAAGTGAGTTACATTTCACTCATTCTCACTGTTTAGTATAAGCCCAGTCTTCCCACTTTATCTAAAGCATGCTAATGGGCCCCCATCCCGAGCAGAGCAGTTAGAGAGCGCTTCCGGATTTGTCAAAGGGGGCCCATTTCCAGCAGCTCGTGACATCTGTAGTCATTGGCATCATTGCCTGGAACTGAGCCCTGTCTGGAAGCAGAGAAAGCTGGATCACAGCCCCCATCCAGGGTTTCCCAGACTGGCTGGGGACTCAGCCTCAGTCAGGTGGCTAGGCTGGACCACACTTGTCACAGCTGCCCACAGGCCTGCTGGAAGGAACGTGGGGCACAGAGCCAGATCCCGGTTCTGGGTCTCCCCTTAAACAGCTGATTGAACTTGTACAATCAGGTGGTCTCTGTGCCTCCACTTTTCCATTCTTCAGGTAGGGAGGATGCCTGCTCTGTTTAGCTCTTGGGGGTGCTTTGAGGTGGAACTGAGTTCATTAATGGGTATGCATTATGTGGGAGGTGGTGGAAGAACATCTGTCACATCTGGTTTTATAACAGTTTCTCCTCACCCCTCCTCTGAGGGAGTTAAGAAAGAAGGAGACCGCCAAAACCGGTTTGGCTCAGTGGATAGAGCATCGGCCTGCGGACTGAAGGGTCCCGGGGTCGATTCCGGTTAGGGGCATGTACCTGGGTTGTGGGCACATCACCAGTGGGAGATGTGCAGGAGGCAGCTGATCGATGTTTCTCTTTCATCGAGGTTTCTGACTCTCTATCTCTCTCCCTTCCTCTCTGTAAAAAATCAGTAAAACATATTTTAAAAAAAAGAAGAAGAAGAAAGAAAGAAGGAGACCAAGAAGTCTCGGCATTAGCACACTAATGGTAGAGGCCCTAAAAAAAAAAGGCAGCTTCTCAGGGGCTTTACAACCTGAAAGGAGTGAGGCTTGCAGTGTATTCAAGTAGCCTTCTGGGTGTGTTGTATATAACCTGAAACTCTTGACTCGTGTCTATCAACTGACAGTCTTTCCTATGTAACAAATTGCAGTGTCTGTATGTGGTCTTCCCATTATCTAATAGCATCTTGAAACTGGTCAAAACTTGAATGCCAATAACTCAGTCACTCAGAATATATGAGATTCTGCACTTGGGAAAAACGTCTACGCTATCTGTCTGACTGCTGATGGGTGAGGGGTTGCCAGGGTGCAAAAGAAGTGGATGACAAGCTCCTGGTCAGGCTCCCTGCAGGCTCCCTGTTCCCAGCTAAGAGGGCATTCCATGGCAGTGGGCATGGGGTGAGGAGGGACGGGCAGGGGAAAGGTCTGGGATAGTTGTGTGACATTTCAGTGAGAGAAATAATTGGGATCATTTGGAATTCTAGTGGGAAGAAGGAAGAAATAGCTCTTCTGTTTTAATGAAAGAATTATGAATATGTCTGAGAAGGTTGGGGTCCATTGAAATTATTCTGTAAAAAGATAATAGGATGTATGGGTTCCCATCCCCCTCTGTTGAAATGGGAGACACATGCCTCATCCCTTCGTTAAGTCCTGATAAATGCTGGTCTTGAGAACACTGAAGGTAAATCAGGGGAGACTGGAGCAGCCAACTGGAGCTTCGAAGATCAAGTGATAGCTGACCCTCATGGAAGTGAATGGACCAGCATAACCTGAGGGGAGAAGCCCAGAGCCACAGCCCCCTAAGGTGGGTGTAAGGAGATATCGCAGAGAAGGAAGACAAAGTCAGTAAAACAGAGCACTTCAGCTTAACCCTTTCTTTTGCATTCGGAGGTGAGGCTTCTGTTCCTGTCAGTCTGTGCAGATGTTTTGGGAAGAGCCCTGACAGCAGCCATCTTGGTCACTGTCCTTGAAGTTCGTTCCCTTAGACCTGCTGCTGCAGCCTGGTGCTGTGTCTGGCTGCCTCTGAGATCAAGACAAAGTTTTTACCCAGAAGACCATCCATCTCAGGAATATATTGTTTTAATCCTTCCTTAAAACAATATCACACTTCCATTCCAGGTCTGTGGCTGAGCCCTGCAGCTCTCCCTTCTAGAACTCACACCACAGAGTACGAAAACGTCCCTTCAAGCCTTTCCATTTCCTTCTCCAATGTGGTTCCCGTGCTGACCTGAGGCACTATCCTGGGCCTGGTGCTGCAGCCCAACCCTGTTTGGTAGCCTTTCTCTGCCATTTCCTGTTCACTGAGGCCACACTAAGAAAGTCACCCCGTGAGCCAGATTTGAGGCCACAGGATTAATTGCATTTTGGAGACCAGTGCAGTCCCCATTGTAGAGAGGGGATCTGAACCCCAGAAGCCACGGTCACTTAGCCAGTCAGCAGCGGGGCTGGGTCCCAGGCAGGCGGACTCCTCATCCAGTTTGCATACTTCCAGAGGTGGCTCTGTTCTTCAAGGCGGCTAGCACTTGCTGCCATCCTGGCCCCACCTCTGCCCATTCCCCTCCTGCTGAGCCTCTGCTGTGGGTCAGAATGGTGTGGATGTGCCAGCTGTGAAGGACCCTGCACTGGGATGATGAGTAGGCGAGAGCCCAAGAGGCATATATGAGATTTCCATGGTGCAAGCTGGCTCACGGCCTGCGTCTTCCTTAGACCAGCCAGGACCATGTAGCCCCACCTCACACCGTCAGTGATGGGCTGTGACAGAGAGGGCCCCTGCAAGCCACTGAAGGCTCCCTTGG